GCAGCGTATCCTCTAGTCTTTATATATATTCTCTGTTCTTCTCTGTGTTCATGAAACGGTTGTAGCTCATGCCTTAAAAAAGATATGTATGTATGCATGCATGTAGAGCAGCAGAGAGCATGCATGCTGCAGAAACAAAGCAATTAAAAGCTTTAACTTAAAGTAGAGCCCCTCACATTTTATTTGTTTGCTGTGGACGAATTTGCTCTTCTGTGCAGAGCATTTGAAATGTTTTTAAGCACACTTTTCATGGCTTTATTTATTTATGGTTGGCTAGTTTGATGCTTATTAAATAGTTTTGCATTTGAAATTTATTTCGGCACAAAACCCATCTTTACTGGAGGGCAATAATTTTTGGCTTTTGCCTTCTAAAACACGCACATAATTTACAAGCTCTTGACTTTCACAATTCGTATTCGTTTCATTTTCATTTATGCACATACATATATATTCTTAGAATTTTATTTAGCATTTCAGACTTTTAATTGAGGCAAATTTCATTTATTCAAAGGCGTATTCAAAGGGAATTAGTTGATAAATGGTAAACAGACATGTTTCGGTTTTTTATTGTCTATTGTTTATTTATTTGCGCATTACAATTTAATATTAAATGGTTTTGATAAGTCAAGAACCATTCATGAACAGCTTGGGGAGCAGCTCTTTGATTTCTTGCAAATTTACGCAGAGTCCTCTCAGAGTCGCTGCAAATGACAGGGCGTGTCATGCACTACCCCAAAAACAAAACCTAGACATGCGTGGAGGTCGTCCCTCCACCTCCTCTGGCAACATTCACACACGAGTGTGTGTGTGTGTGTGTGTGTGTGTGTGTGTGTGTGTGTGTGTGTGTGTTCATGCTACTTAAACTTCAGCAAAATGTTCTGTCATTTTGACATCATTACACCCAAACACATGCATTAGTTCTGCTTTAGTCTTACCCATGGACTGACACAAACGGGCGGAGAAAACTACGAGTATCATGATGAAGCCAAGTATTAGGCGACGTGTAAGTGAAGAAAAAACAATGGAAAAAGCGTTGCAAAAATGGGAAAACGAAGCAAAACTAACATACTTTGGTTGGCATAACTGCGGAGCTGTGGAGCTGATGCCAGAGCTGGTGGAATAATAGATTCACGCACACACACACTCTGGCCATGACAATGAGAGATGGTTTTGTGTTTGTGTTGCCGGGAAAGTGCAGATCAAATGCAGTTAACTAGCTTGTTGACATCTTCACACACAATTTCCCCGCAAACACACACACACACCACTAGATGAGTTTTTGTGTGTGTTCGCTTTTCTTTCGGCAGCATTTACCTAAGGAAAAAGTTCAGCATCCCAAGCGCTTTTCTGAGCAATGTTGCAAATGCTGCAAAATACTCGTACATGGGTATGGGTATGGGTATACCTGGCCCAAAAGCTGACCCTAAACAATACATATCCACATACATAGTGGTACATAGTAGTACATAGTATACATTTATATGTACTTCTGTGTCTGCAGCACACGAATGTATTTTTCATAAGTTAAACAAAATGAAGAAAAACATTGTTTTTGTCCAAACGGATTGCCAGGGACATACAATTGCTACGTGCGTTTGCAACAAATTGCAGCATAAACACTCGAAGCAGCATCACTCTCCGCACTCCCCTTCCGACACATTGCTCGTGTGTCTGTGCTATCTGTGGGGGCGGCTGGAGGAGGCGGCACTGTGGCACTCATGCAAAAGTAAACGATTTTTAAATGCAATTCCGCAAATGGCCCGGTTCGGCCCGTCCCGACCCGGCCCGGCCCGGCCAGACGAGACCGAGACCCAACCGGCCACCATTGTCACAGCAAAGTTGTCAAAACATATTATATGGCCCGATTAAATTTTAATGTCCAGGCAAGATGCAATTTTTAAAAGCATTTTCATTTTGATTTGCTCTGGGCCCACTTTGGCCAGCCAATCTTATGGAATTCCCAATGAAATATTTATGCCAACAGACGACAAAAAAAAAAGAAGAAGCAAAACCTAACCATAGACTGTGTCTGCACTCGTGCCTCCTGTTCCAATTGAAGCCCCGAAGCCAGATTTTGCCCCTCATCGAGGCACACATGTACCTTCGTCAGTGATCCTCTTGACTCCAGCCTGCAAATCCCAGATGCTCAAGAAGCTCTTCGAGTGTGGACCAACGCCTCGGACCCTTTACCCGGACAAGGCAGACAAACTATTTCACCGCACTCACACTTGCATACTTTTGCGGCCTGCATGCCAAAATGCTGCTCGCCTCCCTCCCCACACCCTAAGCATTTGGACAGAGACGCACGCCCTGGCTAATACACTGCAAAAATAGTTTTTCAATTTTATAAATACTCTGGCAGAATTCTGGGAAAGTTTTTTTTTTAATTTAGGCACTTGAATTAAATAATCATATATATCTTGATCTAGGATTGTGGGTTCTGTTTTGCGCTCCTAAAATTATGTTTTTTGTGTTGCTTATTTTCGAAGTGTAAACAATTTTCGAGCGGGTCATGTGAGTGGTGTTTGAGGGCTGGCTTAGGTCATCGCGGTTTCAGCGAGGGAACTTTAAAGTCAATACGGAAAAAGGGCATTCCAATGGGCGTTATACATTCTTTTTAATATAGCACAAATAATAGAAAGTATAAATTTCGTATGATTACTATTTTTTTTTTTTAATTCCCTTGGGGTTAAGTACAAAAATAATAATTCTATAATTTTCTTAGTTCAAATTCTCAAATCCAAGCTTGTACCTTTTTTATTAAAAGTTCCTTTATTATATTATAGTTGATCAGTTAAGGTTTTTCTGTGACTTGCTTTACAGTGCATTTCCGGTGTTACGATTTTTTTCTTTGCTATCTCTTTACTGTACTCAAGCTGCGTTTCCCCTCTCCCACTTAAAAATAATCTCAGTCTCGACGTAGCTTCGACTGAAGCTTCATTGCATACTTTTGCGAACAGAATGTTACAAATATGCTTGGCTCGTTCGTATGCCATGCCCACTCATGCCTGTGGCATGCGGCATGTTGCTGTGTATCTGCATCTGTATTTCTTTGTATCTGCCTACCGAAGCCCATTTATTGTTCCTTCTTTCTGCACAGACGACAGCCAGTCAATGGGCACAAACAGCACGGCAATGAAGAGAAAAAAGAGATGTTTCCAAAAGCCAAAACAATGCAATAAACGTAATTACAATTGAAACGTCCCTGAGTGGGCCCAGGCAGCTGGGCGAGTGGGTGGTTGGGGGCCAATAACGAGGACAACATGTTTGTCAACTGGCATGCTCGTACATTGGAATTTATCAATAATTCCCATAGGGACAGCACCGAAGTCCTTTTCTTTGCCAATTACACACTCACCCACAAACCCGCACACTGCCTGGGCCCGGAGACGGACTTGCACTCCTTTTTTTTACAATACACGCCCAATGTACGTGCTGGTATCTCCTCTGAGTTTGCATTGCTGTCCGGGCTTACTTCATTTCATTGCCCGTAGTTATGGCATCCACAGTGAATCAGTGCCTCTTTGTGTACCCACTAGGAGTGCCACAGTAAGACAGGGGAGGGCTATTGGGCTCGATAAGTTTTATATAAGTATAATTTGTAAGCATAGCCCATTGGTAGGTTTATAATTACAGAGGAAAAAACGAAAAATGGCATCTGTATTAATGGGTATTCCACAGTCAAGACTATCATCATCAGTGGCATTCCAATATGTTCAAAATAAATAAATATATCTCCAAGGATATGTGGAAATATTTAAATCATAAATATTCTCTTGTAATTTGTAAAATGTCCCATAAATAATGGTCAGAAAACCGTTTGGCACTTAGAGCAGAGATATCCGATCTGAGTGCTGCAAAAATAACTTCACATGAGGATTCTCAACCAATTTATTTGAATATATAAATGTTTATTTTGGGAGTCAATATTGACAAAATATTCTTCGGGCCTTTTTATCAACCCAATCCAACTTTTTTGCCAGCAAATGCTTTTTAAAGTCCACTCAAAGTTTAGTTGGATTTTGTTGGCCTCTGGCGGCATTTACTTTGCAGCATTGATTCTGCAGGAAATTCAATTAAAATTGATGCTGCCACTGCTTCAATTCTGCCACTGCTGCTGCCAATTGTTCGGCGGGATTAGATGGAAACAAAGCAACGGAGAAGGAATCCCAGTCGAGTGTCTTCGGCTTAAATCACAGTTGAGGAATCCTTTGGCAGCCACTCAATAACTTAATTCGGAAACGCATTCGCCTTCAGGCACACTTACAGTTCTCTCTCCCTCTCTGCCATATTGTTGTTTTGGGCTGGATTCAGTTTGGGGCTTCCTTCAAGGTGTTTCAATGTGCCACAACTGTAGCAGCAGCAACCACCATCAGCCGCCGGCAAATGACAGGCAAGGGTGGCCGGCCAGGGCCAGAGCCAGTCCCAGTCCCACCCATCGACCGCACAACACCCGGAGGGAACACGACCTACGCCCGTCCAAGTGAAAACAAGCGTAAACAGATCCCATCCCCGCAACAAAAAACAGGATGCAGAGCGGCGCATCCTGCGCCTTTGGCTTTTCGGCGGCCACTGCAACTGCAACTGCCACTCGAATTTTGAATTACGGCCAGGATGGGCTGGCCGCGTGTTTAGATCCACTTCCTGGCTGCCTTTTGGAAAGTTTTGCGCCGCCCCTGCCCTGCCCCGCGTGCAACTTTGCAACTGTACATAAATTTAATTTCATTTTATGAGTCGGCCCAGCAACATCTTTTAGAACTTTACCACACACTATGAAATGTACAGGCAGCGAAAAATTGCAAACAATGTCATATATTTTTTTCCTTCCTTCGGGACAACCCATTCGTGAATTTAAGAAGAAGAAGAAAATTGTTGCATTAATATTCCAATAAGGCAAAAATTCAAAAATTAATTGTAACTTACTTTTAGTCAATATTTAACTTTCAGTGTATGCACCCCTAATGCAATTTTATTTCTATTTCTACCATTTTTCATTGCAGCCAGACTTGCCACTTTCCACTTGCCACTGCCGGGTTTTGTGGGCGTCGGGAAACTGTTTCGGTGAGTTAAGTATGAATTATGTTGTTTTAGCGCGGCGTTCCTGAGTTCGAAAACTTATTGAAATATGCCGCAGCAGCAGTGGCAGCAGCAGCAGCAGCAGCCGGCCACTACACCAACTTCTGTGTGTCCTTTTAAGCTTAATTGAAAGTTCGGCCCGCACCCAGCCAGGGCACATTCAGGCCAAGGCAGCAATATGCCGGCAGCCCGAAAGTTTGGCCAGAACGCACTATGTTCCCAGCCAGGTTGTAAATTAGCGACAGCTGGCCAGCACTACATACTACATACTACACATAGAGTGCATTTTGGGGTGTTGGGTTTTGGTTTGGTTGCAGGAGCAGGTAACTGCATTTACAAGGCAGAGATTTTTGCATTTACATTTCTGTGGATTGGCCTCAAATTTTAATTGAATGAAGAATTTATATTCCATTTAACAATAAATTTTGTTGTCAATCAAAGAAGTTGTCCGGGACAGAGTGGCTGGCTCTTGACAATATTTTTACATTTGTGTCTGAAAGTTGCCACATGCAACTCAAGCCCACACAAATGTCACATAAAATCTCACAAATGCATACGTACAATAGGATAGAGAGAGAGAGAGAGTTGCCCAATCTATATGGAGAAATCTGCACACAACTTTTCACGCACAACAAATTTTGCTGGTGGAAAACAAGACTTGGAGAAGGAAGCCAGCGGAAAAAATCCAACGAACGCCAGAAATCTTTTGCAGCTGCTCATAAAAATGTCCGGATACCCACCCTGCGACACCCGTCCCTGCAAACAAGTTGCAGTTGCGTTTGTGAGCAATTTGTTATTCGATTTTTATATGGCCATGCAAAACTTCAAAACTTCCAGAATGACAGACACTACCATGTCAGCGGAGGAAAACCCTACTCCATTTGGTCCGTGAAGGAGGAGGGAGGGCCAGTGGCTGGCACCACGGAAATGGCTTGAAATTGTCAGCTGCGCAATGATGCACATTAAGTGTCAAGTGCCAAAAGTTGTTGCCGACAACAACAAGAGAATTTTTGCTCAACTTCCTTGAAGAGGATGGGGCACGGCACTCGCATTGACGCCGCCTGTCATCGTGAACCGGAAAGACATACTCGTACACCCCGACATACCCATATTATTTATTTATTTTCCGTTAACTCTTCGTCTTCGATTTTGTGCAATTTTCAAACGTGCTGCCGTCTCGTTGCCAGCTTTACTTTTCCATTGTGCAAAAACGGAATTGCAAAGGCCATTTGCGGTTTAAAAATTCGGCGAGAGAGAGCTAGAGGATGGGTGAGACTGGTGCATCAGCTCCATATAACAATGGAGCAATGAGGGCACGCTGACGCCATATTCAATATTTATTTACGCTTCCATTTCTATTTGAGAAAGAGACGGAGAGAGAGAGAGTGCCAGCAGGAGTAACACCCACCCATCAGAGCTGAGGATACTACTCGTATTCCACGGAGTTTTCAGTTCCGGCTCAAGTACGTGCTCCGCTTGATTTGCTGCTCTTTCGTCTACCAAGATAGAGAGCAAAAGAGCAGAGTGAAGTGGAGTGCAGTGGAGTGTAGTGGCGTGGAGGAAACACATATTTTGACGCATGTTTGTCAAATGTGCAATATGTTTTTATTACTATTTATACTTATTATTTTTTTGTTGCTTACCCAGGCAACTTTAGCTGCATTTGAATTATCTATTTGCTGAGCAAATAAAGTGAACAATTTACATTTTAAACTCATGCATTTTCATCAATAATTGAAAAGAGAGTGACAGGCACTGGATACAGAGAGTGGAAATCCATTTTGTGCCCGGGGGCAAACATGATGCAAACCTCCCGCCCAAGTGCATCCAATTGGAAAAGTTGTAAAATCAACAAGTCATTGGCAAACAGCGGCGGCCCAGACGACAGCGCAAAAAACATCTCTGTTAAAATGTTTTGCTTATTTGCATACAAAAATACACACGGAAAGGAAGAGAGAGGGACAGACAGACAAATAGTGAGAGAGTGAGAGAGAGAGAGAGTGCGAGTGACAAAGAGAGAGGTAAATAGAGGGGGAAGAGAGACAGACAAGTCCGTGGGCAAGCAAACAGTTGCTCCTGGGAACTGGGAACAAACGGTCTGGGGGGGGAGCAATCGTCAGGTGCTGGCTGCCGATGCTGCTCAAGTGCATGAAAGAGTTGCAATGGCTGCCAGCGGTGCAGAAATAACTGTATTTAGAACCGGAAACGGAACTGAGCGAACCCATATGGGTGCTTCCCCGTGCTAGTATGTGTACGAGCGAACAGCAGAAGCTTTTCTGGAAATTGAAACTGTCGAAATTTTATTTCCCCGGCAGCTGCCAGCCATTTGCAAAATGGAGACAAAAGTGGAAAGGTTCACAACCAGCCCGGAAACTGCTTCCTTTGGCGTTGTCTCTTCGAAAACCAACTTCCAATGAGCTGCTCGAGGATTTGTGTGGGTCGCCTTGAAGCGCAGTCGACCTCTTTGCTAATTCAATTTCCAATGGGAACGGCAAAGCTTGGCTGGCCATCGAACTGCAATTTTAAACAATAGAATCTAAGCCAAAAATTCCGAATTCAATAAGCCCCTCCAAATATCATGTATGCGTAGCCATCTGCACCCAGTTTAGTTTCACCAAATCGAACCAACACAAAAGCTGTATAACAAGTTTAATTTTAGACCGGGTATCATAGAGCCGTGTATACCCTGTCCCAAGTAAATAGTTTACTGTAAAAGATATTTAGAATTTGATTGGATGCCATCGCTCACATTAAAATAAATAATATGCAAAACGTCAGTTCATAGGGAGTACATCCTCGAGTACTCCACGTAGTACGACTACCTAAACAAACGGAAAACAATATCATAGTTAAAGTTTTTGACAGTTTAAAGCCGAATCTGGCTGTGGTGTGGAGGCTGGAAGCGGCCAAAATGCCAGTTAACTTTTTGTTTGCATGGATTTTTCCGTGCGGTGTCCTTCTCTCAGCCGGACGGCGAACATTTTTGCAATTCTCGTGCAAATGATGCCCTCCGGAAGTGCCCGGACACATGGCTCAGAGCGTTCAGAGCGTCCAGAGCGACAGACCAGTTCAAAGCACAGTTCAGGCATGTGGGGGGAGATCGGTGGCTGTTGGGGGCTGTTGGTGACTTTGCGTCGCACATCCGCAAAATCAATGTTAAGCTTGTAACGTGCAAAAGTTAATGCCGCAGTCCGGCCCATTCCGACAATAACGGCGGCAAAAACCGACCACACGGGGCCAACCAGAAGCGCAACTAAAAAGCCAAAGCGGAAAATGGCTCCAAACTCACACACACACACACAAAAAAAATCGAAACATTTCAGAATATTATTGTGGAGACTACGAAATACCCTGAATGCAGATTAGTTTCTTGGGCTCTATTAAAAATGCATATAACATATGGAAATGTGGCTCAGGAGGAAGAGTCGTGGCAGGAGATGACACCCCAGGGGTATACACCTATCGCTACACTGGCAAGCCAAGACTGCTAAATTCTAACACTCATCCCACTTGAAACAAATAATAAATAAATAAGTTACAAACTGCATTCTGTGCCTGCTTTACCCTTTTACTTATACAACTACATATTACGGACAAATAAACGCCGCCCACCGCCCCGAATATAATCATCGAAACGTAAAAACGCTGCCATATTTAATATGAAACTAAAAGAACAATACAACCACTAAGCGCAAGAAAAACAATGAAACTAAAATTATAAATGCAAAAGCGATGCTCAGAACGCCATGAAAACCAAACTAAAATCGAGAAACGAGACTGACTATGAATAGATATTGCCTCTATACACATACACATACACATACATATGTGTATATCTACATGGCCTGACATACTGCCCAAAATAAGGGACTCGAAGAGAACAAAAATACGAGTTTTCAATGTATATATGTTTGTATATTGTGCAGCATTTTGGCTATTGTTGCATTTCTGTTGTCATTTTTAAGCCAATTTCCGTTCATTTTGACGCTTCCGGTGCACACACATTCGTACTCGTACTCGTACTCGTAGACTCGTTGATGTATGCATTAAATGAAGTTTTTTTGTTTGGTTTTTTTTTTGTTTGGTTTGGTTTGGCTTTTGACTTTTGGTTTTCTTCTGTGGCCGCTGCTGCTGTTGTATGCCACACACCAGAGACCCATGCGCTTTGATCTAACCAGAAAAATGCACAGCCAACGGAAGCAAAACTGTGGATGCCACCAATCCAAACTACGTACAGAGTTGTCAAGTGTTTAGAAAAATAAATTATATTTTATCTGAATTTGGATCTCTGATACAAATCATACCAAACTAATAATAAATATAATACAAAAGCCATAAAAAATGAAAAATTAAATTTGACCAAAAAGTTGGCAGACTATGCTTGCATAACTAAATATTGTAGAGTTTTGTTTACTATTTTTTTCTCTTAACGCAAAAATTTACCTACACTAAAAAAGATTGAAATATTACCAAAGCAGCTAACACACACCCAATTGGACTTCTTCATTTTATGGCATGCAATCGCATGCGAAATACAAGTGACTTTAATTGGAAAAGCTCCCATGTTGCACTCATCTTATCAGCGCTTCCAACTTTGATTAATGCCAGCAGATCGTGGAAGTTAATCCAAGCAATCAACGGCATCATTAAACAAAAACAGAAATAGTTGCAAGCACATACAAACACAGGGAGCAAAAAGTTGAAGGGCAAGTTCGTAGCTCAGCAACAGTTACAAACACACAAAAGGAAGCAAATAAAATCAATGGCAGCTACTATTTCCTATGAGTACCCTTTCCACAGCAGCCAATAACCCAATGCCCGACTATTCATTTACGAGTTTGTTCTGACAACAATATGCATAGCAGACAAATATGAATAAATTAAATTGGTTTTACACGATTGCACTTAATAAAATCTAACAAATTCGAACAAATAAGCCGTTGCAGTTGGAGGAACAAGGTCGATGATTTAACGACGGCTATTTGTTATTTAAAGATGTGAAGAAAGTATCAATAAATTTATTCGCCCATTCCAACTGCCATCCCAATGTTAAGCAATTTGTATCTGCTTATAATTTCTTAGGCTTATATTTTCTTGTCCATGAATATGTTGGCTGGTCTGTATATTTATTGAAGTATTTATTAAAGTTGCCTTTGACGCATATCCTGCCATAGCACTAACGATTTAATAACATTTTCCGGAAATACGTGTATTTTCCAAGCAATTATCCATTTTTTTCTTAAAGCCTATCTATGGATCAGCAACAAATATCCATGGCACACACACAGATCAATAAACAAAAGTATTTACTGCTTTACGAGGGTCTCCACCATATCCACCGCTTGGGGCAATGCAAATAGATGGCACAGGGGTGCAGAGGGAGCGGCAAGAGGTCATTCATGTTGTAGGCACAAACAGAGCAGGGACAGCGAACGTTTGTTAATATTTTGCGTCTCGTTTTCGCCGACAGTCGATGACAGTTACTGGCCAATGTCCATATGGCCAGCGAATTGCATAGGTCGCTGAAAACGGCAATATTCGACGTGGTGTGTACCAAAGGGGGATTGGACAAACAGTTTTCACGCTGTTTGCCGGATAACCGTTATTATATCGTACTCCCCACGAGTGTGGTGTGGTGTGGTATGTGTGTGTGTGCATCTGTGTGGACAGTGTGGCAACGTGTGTGAGTATTCCTGGTCCCGTTTGAGCCTCGAATCCATTTGACATTATGACGACGCATCATCGAACAAAGCTGGCAAACTTTCCCCAGCTTACAAATATGAGTATGGGGGGGTGCCGTTTAATTCTCAACTTCCCCCAGCATCATGACCCATATACCGGGACATGCCCACCGCATCACCGTTCGCTGACCAGGGCCACTTTTTAATAAGCTCGATTTGGTGCGTTTTAATTAAAAATTGTGCGCTGGTTCCTGGCCGCTGTTTGTTTGCCGGCAGAGTATTAAAGAAATTTCATTATTCCGACAGAGTCAGGGCACAGGCACACAAAACTGTTGCTGTTGTTTGCTAGGTCCAATATTTACATTGTCCAAACACAGATACACGGAGACACGCATATGAAAGATTTATTATGCCATTTTTCGGGTGAAAGTTTCTCCAATTAAAAGCCAAAGCGCAGCATATGCAGGTCACATTGTGGAATATTTACATAATAGCAGAGAATATTAATAATGGAAATGAGCTGCAGCTGGAATAATCGCATTTCATTGAGAAAATCGCGCAATAAAAAGGAACTTTGGGAGCGAGCACGGGGAGCGAGCACGGGAAAGGTGCAAAAAGTTTATTCATTTTGGCAGCGAAACAGAAATGGTTCTGTACATACGTACAAAGAAGCAGACACACACGAAAGGATTACTAGTTTTAATGAACCGAAGCTTTAGATACCCTTGCAAAAAAAATGGAAGTAGCCGAATTTTGTTTTGAATTCTTCAGGAAAAGACAAAAATTTTAAAAACTAAACTATTTTTACCTAAATCCTACCTTCATTTTCCCATCAGTTAGCAAAAGGAGAGCAGTCACAATAACCTTTGAGAGGGCATACAGCAAATTGAGAGTGGGAGAGCGAACCAACCCCTAGAACTTTCCCTCTTACTCTCCGCACTTGTTCCATAAATATTATTGCCCTGTATTTCATTTTTATGTTGACTTTTGTCTCACTTCTTCGACAACAATTCCGTGAAAAAAAATGTTTTTTTGGCGTGTTGCAGCAACACAAATAATTGTCGAGCAGCATGTTGCAAGCGTACACATGGAGTGTGTGTGTGTGTGTGTGTGTGTTAGTGTTTTGTGGTTGTTATTTACGACCGGGTCCTAAGCAACTAGTATAAATATTAAGTATACGCAACATTGTCACGTCAGAATCTAATGAAAAACTTTGGTAGACTCGACCGCTATGCTCTCGATTTATGCTGATGGAAAACTTTAAGCGATAAAGCATCGATAAAAACCAAACGTTAGCCAGGCTTCGCCCCACCCCTCTCTTGCCCGCTCACCCTCAGCACACATTCAAATGGCAACAGCTGGGCGGACAAGGCAGCATCTATGCATATATCGGGCATTCTATGTCGTATATATGGCATGTCTATCTATGTCTCTATGCCGTTCATGGCGGCAGAAAAAAAGGCTTTCCACGAGAGAGGCTGCTTCTGCAGCTTTGGTATCGCAAAGCCTGCATGGCTGTGGCCATGTGCGCGTAAAGTCCATTAACATGAAAGGCAAACAAACAGGAGTCCGAACCCATTCCATCGCATCCCATCGCACTCTTTTGGACACTCCATAAACAACGATGCAGCGCTAAAAAAAAAAAACTCCAACACTAAACAAACACCAAAAAATTCCCGCTGTAGTTTGCATACGAAAAAGTTTTCTAGAAGAGAACACAAATTTTGTGCCAGAAATTTGAGCTGAAATGTGATATTTTCGGAGAGAGCGCCCAAGGAAACCAGTAAAACCAGTAAACCGAACCCACATCTTATTAATTGAAGCATACCAAGGGGAAATGCAATGCAACAAAGTATTTTCCTCTGCACATTTGATTATTAATTGCAATTCCGGCCTGGAATGCGGGGGCAAACAATGCCAAACCTTAAGACTTGATTAAATGGAAGATACAATATCTTTTACTCACTTCCGCCCGCTCTATCTCTCTCTCTTGCAGGAGTCGAATCTGATTGGAGACGAAGGAGCACTGAAGGAGAGAAGCAGAGCAGAAAGGTAAGAGCTGGCTAATTGAATGGTTGCGAGCAAATAGCAAATAGCTGGGCATCCAGACAATTATTGTTGGTAGCATTGGTCAGGTCACGCCTTTAAGCCAATCAACTAAATCAACAGAACGCATACGATATGTACATATGTATGTATGCCCGACACACATCCGACACACCAGGACCAGGACTAGGACCAGCACCAGCACCAGGACCAGCACCACGCTAGTTGACCCACAACGCTGACCCAACACGAAAATTCAAGGCTTAAAATCTATACAAATAAAGGGATTGTACGGGGTGGGGATGGGGCAGCCAACAATTATTACTTGTATGGAAAATGTTTTTCGGGGCGGGGGAAAGCGGGTTGCGGAGCAGTATTTTCATTGAATACAATGGCATTAGCAACAATAACAAAGATGCGCCACACAATCGAGCAAATATTTAGTGAAGGGAAATAATTTCTAATAGGTTTTCCTTCCAATTGAAATCGGATATTATGTGCTCGTGTGATTCTGATTGTGTTTGCGCACTATTTGGGCAGAATTAAATCGAAGCCTGGTCACAAAACAAGAGTCAAATATTTGTACTGCCTCTCCGGCCGACTGTGGTTTGGCCCAGAAGTTTTTAATTAAATGCCCGTACGAGCGTGTGCCAGAGGATGGAGCTAGCTGCTCAAGCGATTTCCTAATAATAAAGAGTTTATTGTTTTCCCATTAAATTTGTCTCAGTTCCCTAAGCCAGCCCGCAGAGACTGGAGACAGCTCAATCATTAGTTATGCAAAACACATAACAACAAGTATGCCGGACCCGTCTCCGGTGCCAGCGTCGGCTTGGAGCGTGCTAATTCGGAGCCGGATAGAACCAAAAATTAAACAAACAAAGATGGAAAGAAACTTGAAGTTTGTTTGGGCAGCTAAGAAATTAAGCTGTTGTTACAAACTGAGGAAACCCCCGAAGAAAAAAGATTGTGTGCAAATATTCCGACCTACACTACGTTTCTTTAGCTACAAGAAACATTGCACACACACACACACACACAGAGAGATGTGTCGCACGGCTCTGTACATTCAGGTGCGTGTGTGTTTATTTCACACCTGAAGTGTGATGAAAATATGACAACAGAAGCACATCCCACCAACAGATAGACAGGCAGGTGCAGAGTGAAAATTGTGCTCCACTCTTGAACGTGTGACTGTGGGGCATTCGTGCTTGAAGAGTTCTCTCTAGTTCTACACAAGCAAACATAACTCGGAGCTCTTCGTCGCCTTTACACATTGCTTTCCACTTTTTGTAGCACGAACAAGTCTAGGAGTCCTTGCCATCATCGCCATCATCATCATCGTTGTCATCGTCGTCCTAGTCGGTTTGTCATCGATATTGTTTCCCCTTCCCTCACGAAGACTCTGATTGAAAATGCAAATTGCGAATACTAGTTGGGGAATATTCAGAATTAGGTCGGGGCTACATTTGGTTAGGTTTTCGCCTCATTCAATAATATTTAGCTATACTCGTACCCATCTCTCACACACGAATGAACTCTGCGCCTCCTGCCTCACGATAATCAACTTAATCGACAGGATTCCATTGCAGGCATCCAAAAATCTGGCAAGTCAGCAAACTTTACCCAACTTTGACCCCCCTACCAACTCACATTCATAACCATTTGCCCCATCATCCTGGGAGAACTATGAGCATACCTGTACAATAACGGAAGAATGTTCATTTAATGCTGTGTGGGAGTAAATATTTGTATGGCCTTGACAAATCAGTTTTTTCTGGTATTTTTTTTATAATAAGCGGCATGACAAAACGCCAAAACATTCAGCCATCAGCCCCCCATTCCTATCCCACCTCGAACTTGCGAATACAAAAAGTCAATTGATTGGGGAGATGAAATTCCTTGGGGCTGGGGGTAGAAGTTTGATGGCAAAAAATAGAAGCCGTGCAAAATTCATACACGACCGGGATTGATTTTGGGCACGACAAAAAGCCAGTCGGGACGGGACCATATATACACACAGAAGGATCTTATATATATACCCACCCGGGTATATATATCAAACACACTCATGTGAGGACAAAGAAAAGAGCAAATTTGGCTTGCTTTGTGCGCTGCCTTCCGGTTGCGACAACGACACGGCATTTATAAAAATCATACGCACCGTTGTACCAGCAGCACACGGGAGGGGCAAAATGTTGGCCCGGCAGCAGGAGAAGCAGAAGCAAACGGCAATATATTCTTATGGCTTGTCGGGCAGCATGTTCGCGAACGATTCTCGCATACATAATGCCAATTTTCGACAAAAACTGTCACCTCTTTGGCGTATGGATAGATAGGGTGGCTCATAAAAACGTTGGACTTTATTCCTCAGCCAGAAATCGGAGACAGTTTCGATCATTCTCGGCGCTAAATCAGATAGAATTCCCCCGTCATTAACAGACCTAATCCACTGACTGGCTGTGCGACCAACTGTGAATGATTCGCCCAGTTAAACAAATCAGTTGGACATTGTCTGGGCTGTGATTTGGCCAGCATCGAAGAGTACGCCCAGTTCTGAAAAACTCGAATGCCTTTCAATTCAAATGCTTGGCACTAAAACAGCAATTTATATGCCCGTCGTAGGGGGAGAGCCGAGTAAGTTAAGCAAAAAGCAAAAAGCAATGAGCAAAACTTCTGTCAAAAGAAACTCATTCGAAAGCGTATATTAATCGAATGAAACAATACATAATGTATGACATCAAAACACAAGTAGAACTCTGATTTTTAAATAGAATAACAACCGGAGGTAGATGCTGCCGAAGCGCATCACCATGGAGAGGAATACACATAAGCTTTGTGTGGGTTTAAGTCGCATGAAATAATTTCAACTTTTTGGGCAGTCAATGTCGAGTAAATGTTGATGAAAGTGTGGGAGTTTTAGATGAAAATAAACCAGTGCTAGCGAAAACCAATTCATTTGTAACCAAAAACAAAATCCTCTTATGCATGCTCGTCTGGTCTGAATTGTTTCAAATACAGAGGCACTTTAATAACAACTATTTTCAATATATTTTGATGAGTTATAGAGCTGTCACGGACACCAGCAACTGCGCTTCGAACACAAGAAAAACAACCATAAAACACCAAATTCCGCTGGCGTGAGAGAATCATATAAAATACCTGCTCAAAGTTGAAGGAAGTTGTCATTCGGCAACACTTACGGGCGCACACATGAGCGACACGAAAACTTCAAAATGACAATTGGAGGGGCGTGCGTGGAGGCGTGTCCTCAGACAAGACTTTCAATTGCTGCCGGAAAAACTTTTGGCCAATTTAAAACGGCAAAAAGAACGCCAACGACGGACAAGAATGAAAGAAAGGTAAACCCTGAAAGAGATCAGGTATTAGTCACGCCCTGACAGATTCCGGCCAAGTTAGTTGGAGTGGCTTGCATGCAGGCTCAGAGCGGATCCCTCGTCACTTGGCAACGGGCGAGCAATGGGAGCATTCGAGACTGCCTGTCAATCAGGGACAAGAGCAGCATCGACAAACAAACCAACTAATTGGTTGAAATGCAAAGCAGAAGCAGAGGGAAAGCAGAAACCAAAATTGGGGCTGCCAAAAAGTTTTACGCTTATTACACACACACAAAAAAAAGTACCAGCAAAACAAAGCCAACTGATGTAAAAAAATGGTGCTGAGAAATTCATGATTCATTAGCAAAGTCAGGCCTGGTCGCCGCCGGGACCGCCGGGACCTACGCAAGTGGGTAACTTTTCAGCCAAGTCTATTGCACCAACTGCGACTCCGACTGGCAACCAGTGCCTTGGCTAATTTAAATTCTTTTGGCGCCGTTGCCCCCGAAGATTCCACATCTAGCGGAGACGCCCCGACGAGCTCCTATTAGGAGTAGTCGGGCATGACAGCTCCTTAAGCGCCTGAGTGATTGACATCAAAAAGGTCTAGCCAGCAGCAGCAGCTTCAGCCCGAGCAGATACGAGAGTACGTTTCTATGGATGTATTGGGGATATAATTAAAATTTCGCATCATTAGGAATTTTGTACATTTGCCCGAACTTTTCTCCAAAGTTTAAGTTAAGAATGAGCGGGCACTTTTCCATATTTATTGCCAGTTTGGTTTATTGAATGAGTGCAGAAAATATGGGAGTACTTTAAAATCCCACAAAAGAGAAATTCCCTAAGACCACTAATGATTCGAAGAGCCAGAAGAGAAGCTTTTCAGGTGTGTTGCCCAGGACAACGTTCGCTTAACACACGCTCAAAGCTAATTTAATGGAAATGGAAACAAAATGTTAACAGTCGCTCAGGTTGTCGTCCAGGACAACAGGCAAAAGGCTGTGCATTCTACACAGTTGGGCAATCAAATCTCGTGTGACCAGACCAGACCAGACCAGAGCTACGCATCCAGGCATCTCCATTTCTATCTGCAGCTCTGACAGCCGTCTTAAGCAACTGCCTAACAAATCTCACTAAATGCCAAGACAAAAGTAAATGAAATTGCACTAAATCTAAAGGGAATTTGCCTTCAAAAAATTTCAACCTTTTGGCCCAAGGCGGAACTGGGTCTTACGTTTGGGTCGGTGATGTAAAAGGGGAACGGTACGGGGATTGGTAGCATCAAAAAGGTACGAACAGGCCTAGGCCAAAGTGATAAACCGTTTCCACTGACATTGCATATAAATCTGCTACAAAGTTGCGTCTGCCACGGCGGCACGGACAGCTCCAAATCGTGCTGGATTTGTCACGCCAAATCGTTGGAAATGCTTTTGCCTTGTTTATGCGTCTCTACGCCCCGCACATCTCCACCACCCCCCTTAGACCCACTCCCATTTTAGTCAAATTTTTGCACAACAGCAACAAGAACAGCATTACAACGATAGCAGCAGAAGCAGCAGCGTGTCTCTCTGACTCTCTGACTGTGTCGTAAATCTTTGAGTAGCTTATCTACAACAAAACTGTGCGCTTTTTTAATTCGCCGGGAAATGTATGCAAAACGGAGCCGAGCCA